GTAGTTACTAGAACATTTCAAATTACTTATGTTGTCTGCAGTTGCTGCTTACATTATATTTCTTTTGGATAGTGCTACTGGACTGACTTGGAGAGACTCTGAGGGAGAGTAACTTCTTTGCTTCTTTAGTGTCTTTTCACCAGGGACTTGATCCATCTCTTAATCTATCTCCTCTGCTCCTTGAAGCTGCTGTAGGACTGTTGATTCCTGCACTCCTCCTCCAGGCCCCTTCACGATTGCTCCCAACCTGGCTTGGCCATCTAGGGTGCTATCTGTCAAGATATACACCTTCTAGCAAGACATGGCCAAAAATGACGTAAAAGACCTCTCAAAAATTCATGAACGGGACTCTCCTTTGTGTTACCCAAAAACTTTGTGATACCAGCGTTGTATTTACCAAGGGCCAAGTCTCCTAGGAAAAAGGGCCTGGGCTTTAGAAACATGAGACCCTGGAGTTTAATTTGAAAAACTAATTGATTAGATCATTTAATAACCTACTCTGTACCTGCCTCTTAAGTGCTAGGGATTCAGTGATGAACTAAATGAATATATGATGAACATACTCTCTGCTTTAAAGAGACTACTGTTTAGAAGAGAAACTAGAAGGCACACAAATAAATAGATCATTAAAGAACATAACCCCAACTTCTCTTTTTTCTTGTATAAAAATTCCTTACTCTTTCTGAGCCTGTTTATTTTTTGGTAAAATGGGTATAATAACACTGCCTTCCTGAGTATTGTGAGGATTAGAAATAATGATTATATTTGCATACTTAGCATAATATCTGACACAGAGAGTAGCTGCTCAGTGAATGGTTTCTGGGTGGCTGAAACAATGAGCACCCTAATCGTATTTAGTTTTTTATTCACATGCTGCCTCATTCTACGAAGTGTTTGCAGTAGCTGGTTAGCTTATTGTTGCATGGCAGATTGTAGGTGAACTTTGACTCCCGATGTAACTGAGTATATTTTCTATATCTATTATTTGCACATCTAAAATATGCAATAAATGTTTCTTGAATCAAACTATACCTGGAATAGACTCTGGAAGTGTTCCAATACAATGCTGCTCATTTTGCAGAAGAAAAAAGAGAAAGCTGAAGTGACTTACCCAGAAACTTACTTTCAATAGCAGTTTCAGGAAAGAAACTATTTTCAAAAGAAACGATACCAGGAACATACTTTCATTAACAGTTTCTATTTTCAAAAGAAGCTTACGCAGGAGCCTACTTTCAATAATAGTTTCAGAAAAGAAACTATTTTCAAAAGAAACTATTTTCAAACTACTTTCAAAAACTATCTTTGAAATTGTTTTAAAAACTATTTCAGAAATTAATCATATTTGCTAGGCATTTGTGGAAGGAGAAAAATTTGTGGTCAACTGGTCAGAGAAGTGAGGGAAGAAATGGGAGAACAAGGACCTTAGAAATAAATAAGCTTCAAGGTGAGTAACTGATGTTTGACTAAATGTCAAACATTGTGAAGAATTTTAGTAGGTGGAAGATGGAAAAAAAGATGTGGACATAACAACTGGGAATCTCACCAAAAGCAGGTTGCAGAGAGGCAAGGAGTTGTCCCCTGCGGGACAGTGGAGGTAAGGAAGTAGAGACAGAGTGACAAAGACTCTTTTTCAAAATGTTGTATGATAAAGGAAAAGAGAGAGCTAAGGAGCTAGATGCAGTAGTAAGGAGTACCCAGCATATCTTCCCGATTGTTTTATTTTTTTTTTCAGAATGGAGGACTTGAGCGTGTTGGGGGCTGCATCAATTTCAAGATGTTGAAAGGGGGAGAAGGTTGTCAGCACCATGTCCTGAATGAAGGAGAAGGAATGAATGTGTCAGCAGGACTGAGGGCATTTATTGTATTTTTTATTTATATTTTTTGAGATGGAGTCTTGCTCTGTCACTCTGGAGTGCAGTGGCTCAATCTCAGCTCACTGCAAACTTTGCCTCCCAGGTGCAAGTGATTCTCCTACCTCAGCCTCCCAAGTAGGTGGGATTACAGTTGCATGCCACCAAGGGCAGCTAATTTTGTATTTTTAGTAGAGATGGGTTTTATCTCATTGGCCAGGCTGGTCTTGAACTCCTGACCTCAAGTGATCTACCTGTTTTGGCTTCTCAAAATGCTGAGATTGCAAGCGTGAGCCATCACACCTGGACAGGGACATTTATTAGCCTTTGAAAGTGAAAAGACACCTTTGCTTCCGAGATGAAGCGAAAATATAAATGGATATTCAGTTGTATGTTGAGAAGAGAGAAGGGCAGTTGAAGAAGTGAAGAAGGAAACAAGACCAGCTATGGAGAGTAAAGACAGCATATGCTGGTGATTTACTGAACTTCCAGTTCCAACTCTCCTGAACTCCTAACCTAGACCTGAGCTTTTCAAAGTAGGGGCTCCTTGGGCCAGTGCAGGACTACAAATTGTTTGTTGCTGGCTCTAATACAGAGAAGAAGCTTGTGTTAGAATGAAAATAAACAACTGATTTTCTTCTTCTCTTTGAAAGAAGCACAGCATTAATTTCCCTTCTGGCAGTGTTCTGTTTCTCATCACAGTGTCCCGAGTAGGTACTTTTGGGAAACACTGATCCACACAATTTCCTACTCACATGTCAATCTCAGTATTTCAGAGACATCTCTAACCAGCCTGAACTCATCGCCTTACTTTCTATAGTTTCTTCTGTTTGTTTCCTCTTCCTCAGTGAGTTGGTGGCTTCCATTGCCAAGCCATCAAGCCAGAAATATGGAGGACAGGAGTTTATCCTACACCTTCTTCTTCACATGCCTTGACTAATCATTCACCAGCATAATTGATATTCTCTCTTACATAGCTCTCAAGTCCACCCTCTCCTCTCTATCCTCATTACCATCAATCTAGTCTAGACCACCTTGAAAGTTTCCTTGGATATTGCCAGGCAAATTCAAGCAAGCCTTTCTCTATTCTGCGGCCCCAGTGAGCTGTCAAAAGTCCAAATCTAAACACTTTACTCCCCTGGTTGACCCTTCTTGCCTTATGTAAACACCAGGCATGGCTCAGTTAACTCTCCATAAGCCTGGCATTTTGAACTACTGAAATCTGTCCTTTCCTTGGTCTCTGAGTTTTCATGTATGCTATTTCCTTCATGTAAGATTTTTGGCCTGCATTTATGTTGCCTCTTAGTTCCTTACCATTAAGAATAGATATTTAGTCATTCCAAACACCCAGAACAATGCCTGGAAAATAGTAGGCACCCAGTACTATTTTGTTGAATGAATAAATTAAATCAAGGAACTTAGTTGATCTCATACTGAGCAGAGCAGATGAAAGTGGTGTTGTTAAATGCTGCCTGACTATGGTCAAGATCCCAGAGCCTTTAGAGAAAGTCATAGAACCTCAGCAATGGATGTGGAGAGCTGTGGAGGCTGGAAGGCAGGAGTCCCACTACTGAAACGCATCTTTGGTTGTGGCTTCCTTCACTGAATCTGGTACATTCATGAAAGCTTTCCTGGATTGCATCAAAATCAGCTGTGGCTGAGATCTTCTTTCAAAATGAGAATCTTACCATCCACACACTTTGTCAGCTACTCTTCATTTCTAGGTTTCCCTGGCTTCTCTCTCTCTCTTCCAATCCTAATAGTACCACCCCCCTCCCCCATCACCACAAACACCACCATGACTTACCATTTAATTTTTGTCTTTGCTTTCCTATAAGACACAACTTGTAAAATCTTGCCACAGACACCAATGTAGCAGAGATGGCAAAACAGCCCCAGTTCTGACATTCTACCCTGGTCTTTAGGACTTCACCCTCTAGGTTGTCACTTTATGCCAAAAGAATGGTAGGTCGGGACAGAGAGGAGAGTGGGGGTGGGGAAACTAGCACAACCATTTGGAGCTAAATAATAGATTATGGCTGGAAACTCCCGCCTTGATTTGGCCCAAGGGCCACAGCTATATCTGGCTGGCCCCTGATTGACATAATTATTATTGCCAGAAAGTAATTTTAGAAAGAACTTAAAAGGAGGACATGGGTGATTAAACTTCTAATAATAACATTTTTTAAACGTCTGGGTTAATGAATCTGTAACTCAGGTAAAAGAAAAGAGGCTTCAAGTGTTCAGGGACTAGTACCTGGAACTAAGCTTGAAAAAATAATATTCTGTTGGGGAGTCAAGTAGGGCAAGAATAGATCACATGCCCCTAAGAAATCTTGGGGAAATAGAGACGTAGCTCATTTTATGCTGAAAGTTCCTTTAAAAATATTATGAGCAAAATAGAGTTTCACAAAGCAGACAACATTTTGAATTAATTCACTGAACATCCCTTATATGCAAGGTACTGTACCAGTCCCTTTGGAATATTCCCATGGGCCTGTGCACGGCTGTTGTGAGCATGGCCTTAGGCATTCTGGCTGTTCATAGCCAGGGTCTGTTCTGATTAGGCCAATGTGCAGTCTGATTGGTTGATGCTCTACCAATTGTTGAAGATTTTGAATATAATAATTTTGAATATCATGTGGGTAAGGCAAACTTTCTGTTTTGAAATAGCTTATAGTTTAGATGATGAGATGTGCTTACAAATAACTATAATGCAATGCTATGCCATAACAATGTCTTTGCAAATGCTTTTATACATTTTGCATTTTGCAAATGCAAAGACATAACATTTGTCTTTGCAAATGCTTTTATACATTTTATCTCATTTGAACTCCATAGCAACTCTGTGGTGCATGCTCCCATTCTCATTTTATAGATTAAAAAAGCATGAAGTTCAACCGGGCATGGTGGCTAATGCCTGTAATCCCAGTACTTTGGGAGGCTGAGGCAGGTGGATCACGAGGTCAGGAGATTGAGATCATCCTGGCTAACAAAGTGAAATCCCACCTTTACTAAAAATACAAAAAAATAGCCCAGTGTGGTGGCACATGCTTGTAATCCCAGCTACTCTGGAGGCTGAGGCAGAAGAATTGCTTGAACCCAGGAGGCAGGGTTGCAGTGAGCCGAGATTGCACCACTGCACTCCAGCCTGGGTGACAGAGCAAGACTCCATCTCAAAAAACACCAAAACAAAACATGAAGTTCAAGGAGAGAGGCAGCCTTTTACATTTCATAGAGCAAAAACTTGCCCTGATTTGTCAATATTTGATTTCCCCTAGTGCTCACCCCACAGTGCCCATGGCTTCCTCTGTTTAAAACAGCAGATTTACTAATGCAAATGATTATTTTAAGAATTAATTCTTGATTTCTAAAAACAGATTTTTCATACCCCAATAACCCTATGAAGATCAGCCTTTTAGCCCCATCATCCTGATAGGAAGTTTAAAGAGTCTCACTCTGAGAAACAAAGAGTCACGGAGCTCAGTTGATATACATTTGGGGAAGCATGGAGTTGCCTTTAAGTCCTCTTCTAGGCAGTGAGGTTTAAAACAAACACATACAAAACAAAACAAAACAAAAAGGCAAGGGCAATGAGAGAGTTGACTGCAGAGGAAAGAACAAAGACAAAAAACAAGCAAGCAAACAAACAATAAATAAAAGCTTTAAAAATAAAAAGTGCTGCATTATCTGGGGTCAGATCTATACTCCTGAACAAGCTGGGGCACGTCACTCTAGCTCAGCACAGAACAATGTTGGTGCTCCTCATACTGGCTCTGAGTAAAATAGGTTAGAAACTGCCAAAAGGAGTGCTAATATTTCCAGAAATAAGCCCAGATTTTCTGGGAATTTACTCATGTAGAGCACCATGTTCTCTAAGGGGCCACATACACATATGGCTGCTTTTAAAACATCTCAAGTCTTTATGTACAGGGCCACATACAACATGCAGATAGGGCACAGGGAGGAAAACAAAATATCTCCCAAGTGGATGATACCTAGTATTTATATAATAATTTGTCCAGTGCTTCTGATACAGGAGGATACCCAGATCTAGGCCTTAAGAGCTGGGATCCCTAGTTAATTTGGCAGCTTTTCCTCTGTATCTAGCACGCATATAGCCATGTTCCATCCATTCTACTCCCCTAGAAATATTTCTTCCATGGAAGCATGCAGAAAGACTATGTCAAAATGGAAAGATAATTTACAAATTGTTTAATGCACCTCCTCCCTCTTTTTCTAGGAAAGGCAAACGGAACTTACAAAAGTGAAATGACTAGTTCAAGATGACAAGAAAGGTTAATTACAAAATCTATCCTAGCAACTCTAATTTATGGTTATTGTTACTAGGCCTTTCTTATTTCATGTGATGTCCATGTCTGAAATAACCTTACTATGAAAAGACTTGTGGAACTAGTAACTCCACTAGGTATTATAGTGTCAGTCACAGAATTAGGCCACCTTATTAGTACCTGCTCACTAGAACATTCTGCCCTCTATATGAGAAGGCTTTCTGAAAAGGTTGGCATAAATGCACTTTTGATTATTTAGATTCTGTTTTGCATGTATTCAGGGATCTCTCTGGTGCACCTCTGAAAAGACTCCAGAATAAACTTTTTTGTGTATGAAGCAACGAAGCCTGCTACAGGAAATATTTGCTGCCTGATTAATTCTTTTGACAGCTCTAACTGTGCTTATCTTCAGGCTGGCATATCCATATCGCCTCATCATCTGGTTTGTTTTGGTCATTGATTAATTCACTTTGCTGCAAGAGTTGCACAAATTAAGGCTCCATAAGGGCAGGGATATTTGCCTGTTTAGTTTAACCCTGAATGCCTGATACTTAGACTAGGGCTTGGAATATAGGAGGTGTAAAATAGGTATTTACTGGCTGAATAAGTAAATTGATGTTTAAGAAGAGAATTCCTGGCCTTATCTCACCTCACTTGTGTCCACCTTCACAGATGCTCCTCCTGTGAAGAGTGTGGCTGCACTGCTGCAAACCGTCCCTTCCCTGCCACACTGGCACGGGTGGCCGCTGCCACCTACAACAGCCCAGACTTTGCCATCTCCTCCTTGTGAAGCGTGAACAAGCAGACCTCCGGCCTGATGCGTCACATCCCTCCTCCCGTGGCTCTCCATCTTCCATCGTTGTTCATGGGACTGTCTTCTAAGCCTCCTCAGAGTATGTTTTGTCCTCCTGCTAGAAGCTGCCCCACTTAGGTCCACCCACTGTTGGAGTTTCCTCGATTGCTCATCTTGGAAAGTACACCCCCGCCCAATACTGGGTGGAGACCACAATGGAGGTCTATGACCCTGCTCCTGCTAACAACCCAGCACCCTCCTTCCCACTAGGAACAGAGCTGCTGCTGCTGCCACTGCCACTGCCCACCTTACAGACAGGTGCAGCTTAGTTTCCATACCATTGTTGAGTTGTAAATGGCCTCCACATAAGGGGCATCCACAGTTGTGAGGCATATCAGCATCACTTGGAGACAGGATGGCGTTACGGTTAATGGTGTGAGCTTTGGAATCAACTGACTGGAGGTTAAGTCTGGCAACTTCTATTTCTTGTATAACCTTGGGCAAGTAATTTAATTTTCCTACAACTAAGTTTGCTTATTTGTAAAATTGGGAAAATGTCAGAACCTTTCTTGGAGGGTAAAAGTGAACATTAAATGTAAAAAGTTGCTCACTGCCTGGTACCTATTACAAATGCTCAGTAAATCTTTTGTATGTATGAGAGGAGAAAAACAAATGATTATTTTCAGTGGATTCAAATAAAAGTCAAGAGGAGGCCAGATGTCAGAAGAAAACAGGCTCCAAGGGAGAGATTAGGGATGGGGTTGGACTAGAGGAAATGTAGGCAAAGGAAGGCTAAAGAACAGGTTTGTAGGGAGGTAGAAGTGGGAATTGGAGAAGGAAGAGGAGATAAAGAATGCGTAGGAGGAAGAAGGTATATTCTAAGCTTTTAAGGAAAGAGAATCTTAGGGAAAGACTTTGCTAGCCAGTTCTCTTTACCCCCCACCCAGTACCTATATTCCCTCGGACTACAAGAACCTACAGTCTCTCTTTTATTCTACAATTGTATGAGTTCTTACCACTAGAACTGTAATCTCTGAACAATAACAACTCCTCCAGTTTTACTCATTCACGTATCCCAGTGTCTAGCATGATCTTCTGGGCCAGATATCTGACTGCATGTAAAGCAGCCCCGTCTCCTCCTGTCTTTTCAGAAAGCATGGGCATCAAATTCACTTGATTTTAAAATAATTATTGAAGTGATACGAGTAGTTAGTTCCCTCCCTGTCTGCGCTTGCTATGAATACAACAACGATAAATCAATAAAACGTAGGTGTTTATTCTCCTTAACTTCAGTTCATTTTGAGATTTAGCCTCCTGTTCCTGTATGCCCTCAATAGTGTGCTTTGCTCAATAAGAGAAAAGAGTTATGGATGACTGGGACCCTGGTCTATTTTGCAAGTTTCAGTTGCTCTTTTATGCTTGTAGTTGGTCTGGGTCTCATCAGGGAGGCTCTCAGGGCAGACAAATCGTAGGTGGCTGGAGAGGCGCAGCTTTTTGTTCCACCCCAGCTCAGCTTCTGAGCTCTGCCCCGGCTTCCAACCATAGGTACAAGGAACTGCATCCCAGTGCCCATTCTCCGGGTCCTCTATGCTGCTAAGAATATGGCTCAAGGTTTCATTCTCCAGCCCTTTCGCCATAGGGGTTCCAATCTTCAAACTGGGTTTTGGCCACTTATCTCTGAGTCCTTGCTCTAACTCTCCCTTCTCTCTTAAGACCACACATAACAATAGTAATAAGAGTAATAATAGCAAACATTTTCTGAGCATTAGCTGTGTGCCAGGCATGGTGGGCAAAACCTTATTTGCATAGCCTCATTCAACCCTCACAATCATCCTGTGAAGTATCAGAACTATTTATTTCATTTTACAGATTAGGACATCAAGGCTAAAAGAGGTTATGTAACTTCCTCAAGGCCACATAGCCTGGAAATGTCAAAGCTAGCTCTCAATCCAGATAACTGGTCTTTCTGCTTCCTTATTACGGCTCTCTAATCTGTTCCTCTTACAGAATAATTATTTAAAAGAGGAAAATCTGAATCGGTCAGTCCCTTGACTTGAAACACTTCGCTGCTATCTCTCTGCTTTGAGAATAAAATCACTTTGTACTGGGAGGCCCTGGAGGGTCTGGCCTCTACTTCTATTCCCAGTTTCATCTTATACTATTTCTGCTTCCCTCACTACATTCCAGCCCCCCTCAGTTCCTGGAGTAAATGGACTTCCTTCCAGCCTTAACATATATGAGTATGCCATTTCCCCTCCGGAAGGCTCTTCTCCCAGCTCCTTGCATATCTGGCTCCATTTTTCCTTCAGTTCTGAGCTTAAATGCCACATCCCTAAGAATCTTTCTAAATTGAGTGCTCTTCTTATTCTGTGTCATAGCACCCTGTTTATTTTCATCATAGCAGATAACATTCTGAAATTACTTGTTTACTGTATTTTTTCTTTCTGTTAGCATGAGCTTTTGATGAGGGCATGAGGGCAGGGACTTCATCTCACTTATCATTGAACACAGTCTTTTGCATATGTAGCTGCTCAGTATATATTTGTTGATATGAAAGAATGATCTGTTTGACTCGGGTAGATTTGCCATGCAGCTAACAAACTTAAGCTTAAGAGTCTATTACTTGCTAAGGGCCCTAGCAATGTGTCCACATGGTCACATCTTTTTGAAAATTGTCAAAACTGAGATATTTAAACTGCAAATGGTTAAAATCATTGGGTGTTTTATGTAGGTCTCAGATACTTCCATGGATAGTTAAGTTGCTACTGGGTATTCTCAAGCAAGACTGATTTTCAGGAATACTTTCACTGTTCATTGTGTGACCTCACTTGCGGTTGTGACACAAAGATGCAGGCACGTGGCATCAGAAGCATGTGGATTATACATGGATTGTGGAGGAGAAATAAGGCTTGAAACGTTTGGCCCCAGGTGCTAATTTACGGAAAATTCTTCCAAATCTTATAGCTGTCTTATGAAACTTCAACAGTTTTTCCAACTTTAATAGCAATGCTGAAAATGTATTTGGCATTGCTAATTATGAATAACAGATCTGAAAGAAGCTTCTCTAAATTATTAGGACAGTGCAAAAGCAATTGCGTTTTTTGCCATTACTTTTGCACAGACTCAATATCATTAGTAACAAAAAAAAAAAAATACCGCAATTGTGGATTCATGACACTAAGGGAACCTTAATATATGCAACTTTTTAAAAATTCAGGAAGTTTCCTAGGATGGAATGCAGTGTGTAATACAATAATTTAACTGAATTAAACATATATGAAACAAGCTTACTGAAGAGGATGGGGAGGGAGAGGAGCCATGTAACTTTGGAAATGAGTGGCATCTGTAAGACCCAAGGTACATGATACTGCATGAGCACTGTACCCTCGCTGATAAAGTTGTGTCTCACAGGGGTAAGGGTTAATAATTCCAAAATCACTATCCATGTGTCTTATTTTGTCCTGCTATAACAAAACACTTGAAACTGGGGAGTTTATGAACTGAAAGTTCTGAAGTCTGGAAAGTCCAAGGTCAAGGTGCCAGCAAATACAGTTTCTGGTGAGAGGTCCAGTCTCTCTTTCCAAGATGGCACCTAGTGGCTGTATCCTCCAGAGAGAATGAACACTGTGTTCTCACATGGCAGAGAGTGTAAGAGCAAAAAGACCCTAAGCTAGTTCTCTCAAGTGGAGCCCTCATGACTTAATTACTTCCCCAAAGATCCCACCTCTTTTTTTTTTTTTTTTTTAAGATGGAGTTTCACTGTTTTTGCCAGGACGGAGTATAATGGCGTGATCTTGACTCACTGCAACCTCCACCTCTCAGGTTCAAGCGATTCTCCTGCCTCAGCCTGGAGAATACAGGTGATTCTCCTATATTCCATTATCTTACAGATCATTCTAGCTTCTTCCTTTTGCTTTTCTGTAACCTCCTACTCCAATAGTGAGAAATCTGATGCTCACCATCCACTGTCTATTTACTTATTTAATTTCTGTATACATGGTCCTAATGGTTTGAATATGTCCTCCAAAATTCATGCTGAAACTTAATCCTCATTTTGATGGCATTAAGAGGTGGGACTGGGCCAAGCGCGGTGGCTCGTGCCAGTAATCCCAGCACTTTGGGAGGTTGAGACAGGCAGGATTAGCTGGGATTACAGGTGTGTGCCACCATGCCAAGCTAATTTTGTATTTTTGGTAGAGATAGTGTTTCACCATGTTGGCCAGGCTGGTCTTGGACTCCTGACCTCAGATGATCTGCCAGTATCTCTTCTCACCCACTTATCTATGTATTCAATCACTTATGTATAATGATATCACTATACATAGTGATATATGTAAGTGATTGAATACATAGATAAGTGGGTGAGAAGAGACAAATTTTCCATGCTGAAGCATTCCCAGCAATCTTTGTAGAATTTCTTCCTCAAGGAGGTGGAATATAACTCCCCACTCCTTGAGCATAGGTTGTACAGAATGACTTTCTTTGAAGGAATAAAGGATGCAAAGGTGGCAGGGGGAAGGTGCAGAGGATAACTGTTCATTAGAGAAGCGTGAGAAGCACCACCTCAGCCAGGTGACCAAGATCAACATGGATATTAATAATAAGTCATGTTGACCACATGGACCATTGATAAGATGTGATGAAAATGGTAGTTTACTTCTGCGTTTTCTTCCTCTTCAAAACCATAACTTCATTTTAATCATGAGAAAAGCATCAGACAAATGCTTATTGAAAGACATTCTACAGAATACCTGACCAATATTCCTCAAAACTGGTCCTCAAAAACAGGGAAAGTCTGAGAAATTATCATAGCCAAGAGGGAACTAAGAAGACACTACAACTGAGTGTAATGTGGTATCTTGCATGAATCCTGGAGTGGGAAAAAAAGACATTTATTTACAACTAAGAAAATCTATATAAAGTATAAACTTTCCTTAGTAATAAAATATCAATATTGCTTTATTAATTGTAATCAATGTATCATAATAATGTGAGAAGCTACAGGAAACATTAGGTATGGGGTATATGGGGCCTTAACAATTTTTTTGTGTGGTAAATCTGAAGTTGTTCTAAAAATAAAGTTTATTTAAAAATCTTCAA